TAAACTCCTGAAGCCCTAAACCCCAAACCCCCCTATAAACACTAAAACCCTAAACCCCAAACCCCCCTATAAGCCCTAAACCCCTAAATCCTAGGGTGCCTCGGTCGCAGACGCGCAGACCTCTGGGTCGGTTGGACGCGTAGCGGCCGAAGGACGCCAGCAGCTTGGAGAGCCAGCGAGTCCGCCCGGATTCATCTGGGCGTTTAGGGCATCCCTTTAGGGGTTTAGGGTTTAGGGTTTAAGGGTTTAGGGGTTTAAGGGTTTAGGGGTTTAGGGGTTTAGGGTTTAGGGGTTTAGGGTTTGGGTAGGTTGTAGGGGTTAGGGGTTTAGGGTTTTAGGGTTTAGGGTTTCCTTCAGGGTTCTTATGGGGCTTAGAAGGCTGTCTACAAGGGTTCCTATTAGGGCTTAAGGCTTCAGGGCGCTTGAGGTTGAGGGTTCGCCTGGATTCATCTGGGTTCAAAAGGGCCTTTAGCAATTGTTGGGGCCTTTGAAAGGGATCTATCTATCAGGGTTCCATAAGGATTGCCTTCAGGGCTTGATGTTTAAGGGCTTAAGGGTAGTTAAGGGTTCCTGTAAGGGTGTTGTTTAAAGTTTTGGGATTGGAGGTTCAGGGTTTGGGGTTGAAAGGCTTAGGGCTTAACTATAGGCGAGTCTAGGAATTTGGTGTTTAGGGAAGGTTTAGGAATTAGCAATTGGGGTTAAGGACCCGGACAGCAATACCCCTTCAATCCAAAAGTCCTTAAATGATCGTATAAGTATGACAGCTACTAATATAACAGAAGTACTTTTTGCTACAAGTCGCTGAGTCTGTCGTGGCTGCGGCTTCGACCGCTTCGGCGGGGCATGGCGACGCAGAGGCGAAGCTGTCCCTTGCCCGTTTAAAAAGTACCTTTCATTGGCTCCTGGAAAAAGCTCTACAAGAGGAACTATTAAAAAACCCTAGATAACACTATTTATGAGGGCATTTACGAGGGGACCTATTTTACCTGGGCTTTAGGCTGCGTGCCGTTCGAAGATCTTGACTGAAGCTCCTGATGGCCAAACGCCACCTGCGAAGCCGCTGATGCTGCTAACCCTAAACCCTAAGCCCTAAACCCTAAACCCCAAACCCTAAACTTTAAACCCGGATGCCTAAACAATGGGGCCTTCGTGATTGGACGATGGATTGCCAGGGTATATTCGAACCAGTTTTGGGTACAAAAGGGAACCACAAGGAACAGCATCGGTACCTATTCAGGCTTCTATATTATAGGGACTCCACTAAATCTTATCAAAAAGGCTCTAACTTTCGGGCCCCAAAGACTGCACATTGCCTCAACGTAGTAGTGTACCTTTAGTGCCCCGGACTATCGGAGTTGCATCCCGTTTTGTGACTTCTGCAGACAGCAAGGATCGCGTAGTACCATAATCAAGTCCCACGGCCGTAATGCGCAAGCCTTTGTCTGGATCGTGAAAGGAGAGCATGCTGCGATGAGGTATGATGAGGTGGTGGCTATCTTTCGACCTGACCTCGAACATGGCTTGTCCATGCTGACATCCAGAATCTTGGTGTAGGCTGCAGAATGCAGGACAGTAGTGCATACCGGAAAAGCATTCCTGAAAGTATGCTCGTTGCGAAAGTGTGCTCGACAATTTCTGCTCTGAAGCTCTGCTGAGTAACGCGTTGTCTCGCTGAGTGACACTTCAAGCATGATGTATAGGGTTGGCATACTCGACAAGGGCATGGGATCCACTTCCCAATCATGACTGGGAATTTGTCGCCAAGCTTGCGCATGAGCGCTCCTGACATACTCCGATGATCACTTGCTCATTGCTTGACCCAAGATTAACGCGACAGTTATCCTCGCGACTAAAGTGCTGTCATATGCAGCTGCATTTACTACTGGTGTCCCGGAGAAGACCTCGTCACAGACGGAATAGAAATCCTGCAGCGATCCAGCCTGGGACATCCCTAAACCCTGAACCCTAAACCCTATATTAGGAATCTCCGAACGCAAAAATAGACCACTCAGAAAGTCTACACGACTTGCTTTCCCTCACAAACCCCAACCCCATGTCATAAGAAAGGTCCCTTTACGTTGCAGGAATCCTGAAAGGAACCACATTCAACCCTCTATTCGGCCAAGTAAACCACCATAAAACCACACCACAGAATACCCCATGAAACCCACGAAAACAACACCTGAGAACTATCGCAAAACCCCATATCATCCTTATTGAAATCCTATAGGAAAGTCCTTAAGCTCCCGATAACACACAGCCCTTCCTGACACCGATATAATTTGCAAGGCATATAAAACCAAAAGATCCCATACAAACCTACCCTAAGGGTCCATGTGCCCAAATAGTATATACTTTGGCCTTAAGCTAGTCCCTATACAGGTGCTTCGGGGGCCAAAGTATATACTATTTGGGTGCATGGACCCCTAGGACTAGCAAAAGACCCTGAAACACAATGATCCAAGCTGCCTAAACCCTAAACCCTAAACCCTGAACCCTAAACCCTAAACCCTAAACCCTAATGATCCAAGCTGCAAGGCGTAGTATGGCGGAGTGCACTGCTGCAGCTTCGGGGAGCTGACTGCACAGTCTCCGAGCGTGTGGAAGGTCATCTCGGCTTCGGATTTCGGGAGTACATAGAGTATGTATATATATACATACATACATACATACATACATACATACATATATATATATACATATATATATATACATACATACATATATGTGTGTATAATATAATACATACACATGTTGGGTTTCGGGTTCGGGGTTTTACAAAGGTCCTGTAGGGAATTTGCGTTTCAGGGTTTAGGGTACGAAGGTCCTTGTTCGGTTTAGGGCTTCAGGGTTTAGGGCTCTGAAGTCCCTTGAGGGCTCAGGGTTCTACAAAGGTCCTTGTAGGGTTTAGGGCTCAAGGCTCTGTAGCTGTAAGGCTCCTACAAGGATTCTTTGTAGGGTTTAGGGCTCAAGGTTCTGTAGCTGTAGAATTCCTACAAGGATTCTACTTGGGATCTATGTCTTTGGAGTTTGGCAGCTTCCGGTGCATAGCAATTTCGTTCTACTTGGGTCGTGGGTTCCTATAAAGGTACTTCGGGGCCAAGGCGTAGCTGGGACTGGACTCTAATTACCTGGTGTTTTATGGGCTCTACCTATTGTGTTAATTAAGGGCTACTGGCTGGTAAACTGTAGCTGAAGAGAGTTACAGGTATACTCTGTGGGTACTTGTCGTGCCTAGAGACTGTTTAGGGCATACGGGTTTGGCTTTAAAGCGCGCGGCGCCGCCCCTGAAAAGCACAAAAACCCAAAACCCTCAAGACTATTCACCCCGAATACCCCAAACCAAGCTCTAACCCCTAAACCCTAAAACCCTTAAAGGAACACTTATAAGATCCCTTAAAGGAGCCCTATAACCCCAAACTTGCTCCCACAGCCATGGTATGGATCTGAAAACGTCTGAAACTTTGCTCTGGGCCTTGAACTGTCTGGCTTGCACTATACTCGGTTCAGGGTTTAGGGTAATCACTATACATACAGAAGTAATTCTGGGGCTACGATAATTACAGTAGGGTTTGGGGGAATGGCAGTATACTAGAATATACTAGAGTCATGTCAGCAAAAGTGCACAGAGACATGGGGACAGCTACGGTTGAATATCGTGCCAGGTGCCGCTACGAAGGAATGCTTTCAGTCATAATCCATTAACATTAACCGAAACCCAAAACCCTCACCGCATCGGGTTGGAGGGTAATTGTAAGGGCCTTTTTGTTCAAAAAAGCAGCTTTGTCATCCGGGGGAGGGGGGGCACAAAAAAGGCTCCCAAGTCCAACCTTCAAACCAGGCTCCAGAAATACCGTGATCCGCGAAGTCAGCTGGCCGAAATTTCGGCCGAAATTCCAAGATTGGTCAAGGTCCCACTGTCCCACTTCAGGTAGACACGCACACACACACCGTCCTGCGCTTCACTTTACCTGTACAGAGGCACATGGAACCGACCGGACCTAGAGAGGGCTTCTGGTCTAGGATTCCACGGACACTCCTCCCTAAGCCCTAAAACCCAAACCCCAAGAACCCAAGACCCAAAATCCTAAACCCCTAAACCGCAGGTAGCTACTCTAACCGGACCTTGCCACTCTGACTTGAAAGACTACGTTCATCGACGGGCACCCGCAAAAGACATCTATATATATATATATATAATATAATATAGAGAGAGAGAGAGGGATCGATAGATAGATAGATAGATGGACAGACGGATAGATGGATGGATGGATAGATGGATAGATGGATAGATAGATAGATAAATGGATAGATAGATAATAGCTAGAGAGAGACAAGCGGATACCGATAGATAGCTACATAAATCAATGGAGCGATTCACAAAATTAGCCAAGACAGCTTGCAACAGAACCCAGCTCTAAACCCTAAACCCCTAAACCCTCAAACCCTAAACTAAGCCTATAACCCAGTGCCGAAGAGCCAGATTTGGCTGGTCGTTGGCGAACTCGAGGATGTCCAATTCACCACCCTTTTTGGTTGGGAGCTCCGGCATGGGGTTCTCTGAAAGTGATCTACAAGGCTCTACAAAGGATCAACATGGGTTCTGGGATTCGGGTTTAGGATTGAGCCAGGGTTTAGTTGGGACAGAGGGCGTATCATACTGTAGATGTTAGGCTTTGGGGTTAGGTTACGTTGTGGGCTAGGCTGTGGTTAGGGTTTAGGGCTTTTGGTGTTGACGGTCTCGCAATTTGACGGGGATGCTTCGCCCCTGTAAGGGGTCGAATTTCCTATTTCTATTTAAGGTTTCAGGATTGGCTCCTACTTGAAGGTTCACATAGCTCAGCTTAAGCGCCCTTAGAACCATAATAAAACACCATTTTGATTAATTTATTTCTTGGAGTTATCATGGTAAAAAGTAGAAGGCAATTATTCAAAGAACACGAAAGCCAGAAGGCAGGGCGTTGGGAGCTCCGAGGCTTTTGGGGGTTTAGGGCTTATGGTCCACTGGGGGTTACGTAACCCTAAGGCTCAAAATAGCCCAAAAGCCCTATATAGTATAGTCTTCGGGCCTAACAGCCTTAGAATATGAGTCCTTAGAGCCTTAGGCCTTAGGGTAAGGGCTTCGGGTTTCAAGCGATCTAGACGGTTTCCAAAGGGGCTTCTAAACAGGGAACCTCTCTGGGTGTGGGGGCTTCGGGGTTTAGGGTTTAGTTTAGGATTCAGGGTTCAAAGTCTAGAATTTTGGGTGGTGGCTCTGTGGATTCTTAGGGCTTGGAGTTTGCAGGCGCCGCGTTTGATGCACAGTGATAAACATGATTACAAGCTAATTTGCAGACGTTCTGCATGTAGATAGATAGACAGATAGATAGGTAGGTAGGTAGGCTACAGTAGATAGATAGGAGTAGATAGATAGATGTGTATCTATCTAGTTCAGACCCTCACCCTAAACCCTGCACATATGCACTGCTGCCATAGCGTCCTTGGGCCAAGTGTAGTCGCTGCACATCGTCCAGAAAGCTGGCCACCTCAGGCCCCATCGAGTCTAGATGCTTTACCTGAACCCCAAAGAACCTACCTTAGTAAGGACGTATATCAGGAAATCGGTTTAAGGCTCACCCGGACCCTGCAGAACCTAACTACTTGGGCACATGGACCCCTATGGTACCCTAATGGAACCCTATAGTGGCAACCCTTAAACGTTTGGGCGCATGGACCCTAAAAGACAAGCAGAATTTGGACAGTTCTTCGGGAGTTTGGGGCTCCTGAGCTACCAACTCCCACGATCCATTGCTTGAATCACGTTAAAGGGTACCATAGGGCTCTATAATAGGGTTCCTTTTGGAGGGTACTCTAAAGCTCTAGAACAGTTCCCTTCGAGGCTATACTAGGGTCCCCTTTAATGGTTCTTTGCTTTCAAGGCTCCTGTGAGGGTCCGTGTAGGGTTTACCCGAAACTCTAAACCCCAAACCGTAAACCCCCAAAACCCTAAACCCTAAGCTTAACGGCTTCACCGTGCACAGCTTTTTTTGGGTATTTCGGGCTCTAAATTTTCTGAACCCTTGACCCGGAGCTGAACCCCAAATGACCGCCCCAGTTTGGGGCTCCTCATTCTGAGCTCCTCCTTAAGAAGGTAACGGTTTAGGGTTTAGGGGTTTAGGGGCTTAGGGTTTAGGGTTTTTGGGGGTTAAGGGTCGAGCTTTGAAGACTTTCCTAGACCCCAAAGAACCTACCTTTTTAAGGACCTTTATCAGGAACTCATAATAAGGAACCCTCCAGGTTGGGCTTGGGGATTGAAGGCTTTTGGCTTTGGGATTTCTGGGTGATTGCTGAACGCCTCGGTTTGTTGCTACACATCCAAACCCTAAACACCTACAAAGTCGTGGGGCTTACAGGTATAACGATGCACCTCAATAAATCCAAGAATGCAGAGTTTCCAGTCCAAAACTCCCACGGCTCCCAGACCCCTGCTTCGAGCTGCGGCACACTCCAGCGCCATATGGCACGTGGCGATACTTCATCGCCACCAGGAAGCCTTCATGCGGATTCCAAGCCTTCAATCCAGGGCTGTTTAGGGGGCTAAGGACTTAGGCTTCAAGCGCCGGGGGTCCCTCGCAGTCGTTCCACAAACGGAGGCGTGGCCAACAGGTCTACGTCAGTAAGGACCATCAGCTGTTTGCAGAAGTGCTTGTTGAAGCATCACCACTGCAACGACTTCAGTGATTGCGATGTTTTGTGTCCTGGGTCCACGGGCCAGGGTTTCACAAAATTGACGTTGGTGCGCCGCGGCGCCTACTTGATCCTGCAGCCGGTAATGTGGGGGCCTTACAGATGATTAGAACGCGGTTTTGGGGTTTTGATCGGACAAGACGCCTGTTCGGGCAAGCGAAACTAGAGGGCTTGTGCCTCACCTGTGATTCTCAGCCGTATCCGTGTTGGAAATCAGCTTGGAAAAACAACTCATGGGATGTAACAAGCTATAATGACAATAAGGAGGCCTAAGGAAACAATATATTTGTTAGTCAGGCTTCTGTCTGACCGTGCACCAAGTCGTACGAGGCATGCTCTGCAACGTGTCCAAGTTTTAGTTGTGGAACTACCTACATGCAGGGGACAAGGCCTACCAGCAGTTCACGTGTGCCGGACCTGCCTCCTTGCGTCTGGTTTGCTGGGGCTCTTGCACTGAACCTCCAGTCGAAAATAAATAAACTGAACCCGATCTGCTTTGTATGGAACCTCTTGGACAGGGGATACTGCGTAGTAACTTTAGGGGCAAAGCGTACACTTTCTGAGTACACGGACCCTGGCAAGGCCACCGCAACCATGCTCAAGCAGGAACAATACGAGGGTTTCGGGTTTAGGGACGCACTGCCTTGTTGGTCTGTATCCGCACAGAGTCCCGCTTGCCTCGAATCCAAACATGATCATGCAGATTTCTGAGAGTTGTTGCAGGTGAGAGAATCCAGGCTTTGCGCACATTCTAGAGAAAAACTCTAGAGTAGAAACCCTGTGCCCTGAACCCTAACGCCTAACAGAGGTTCAAGATCTAGAAACCGTGATTACTCGAGGCTCCTGGGATTTTCGCCTAGGGGTCCCAGACTTTGCTCCGTAACAGCGATGGTCTGGTCTTGTGCTCACTATGGCAAGGTTTAGGGGTTTAGGTGGGTTTAGGGTTTCGGATTCTATAATTCTTTAACTTTAAGACGACGTCGCTTGGTACGGGCTCAGATCCGCAAGCCAGCAGCTCTGTAGTATGTCATGGACATGGCTTTGGGCTTGGGAACTTCCGGCCGAGGAAATTCGATTGTGTTAGGATGAACACAACCCTACACCCTAAACCCTAAACCCTAAACCCAACCCTAACCCCCTAAACCCCTAAAGCCCTAAAGCCCTAAAGCCCTAAACCGCTAAACCCTAAACTCTAAACCCCTAAACCCTAAACCCCTAAACCCTAAACTCTAAGCCCCTAAACTCTAAGCCCTAAACTCTAAACCCTTTAAACTCCAGCTCCATCTCAGCTCGGCCGTCCGTCAGCTCCCGGAAACACGAACCCTGAAGGCTCAGGGCCTGTGCCCTAAACCCTAAGCCATACCCTACGCCTTTCTTGGGGTTTAGGGTTTTGGGGTTTAGGGTTTAGTGTTTTGGGGTTTAGGGACTGATTCTTTGGTTAATATCTGTCATGTAGAAAAAGCTAGGTACCCTGAAGACGAGGGTAGGGTTAGGACCGTCTAGGAAAGGCTCTAGTGACTGAGATGTTCAGGTCGCTTGGGCACAAAGACATAGAGCCTTGTTGGAGAGTTGCGGGCTACGAAATTTCAGATCTGTTGAGGATTGAGGGTTTAGGGTTTAGGCTGGGCTATGGAAATTATGGTGCACCCTGACATGCCTCAGCTACCATCTGAACAACCCTAAATACCCGCCTAAACCCCCGAATCTCTTCAGATCCGACCCCGACACTTCAAGCCAAGATCCTGTCATCCACAAGGCCCGTAGCTAAGGTTTAGGGTTTAGGGTTTAGGCTAAACCCATGCTTTCTAAAAGTGCGTAACACCACAAGCCCTCATTACCATGTCCACCCCTGATGTAGGGGCCTCAATAGCTAGTTAAGAAAAAAGAGTTGGGGTCCGGGTATATCATAGTAAATGTACAATCAGAATCCCTGAGGAGAAGCAAAAGTAACCCTAAACCCCTAAAGCCCTATTAGCCTATACATTCTAAACCCTACCCCTAAACCTTGAGCCCCTAAACCCCAACCCCTAAATTTACTAAACCCCGAACCCTAAACACTAAGGAGCAGCACAAGTATGTATCTAGGCTTCTATCCTACGCCACTGACGAGGCGCCATTCCTCAGCGCACCCGTTCGGATCACAACGTGGTCCTCGTTTTCCAGATGCAGGGTCTGGTGCTCTCTACCTAGATTGTCATACCATGCCCCATGTTTAGGGTACCTACTTTTCTATATAGCAAACCCTAAGCAGAAACAGGGTACCCCAAAAAGTGGTACGGTATGGCCCTGTAGGTAGGGTTATGGGTTTGCGCTTTGCTTTGCTTATTTCTTGAGTTATCGAGTCGGCTCAGAGTTTCTGCCAGAAGCCCTATCTTCAAGCTAGGCTACTTGGCTATCTATCTATACATCTGTCTATCTATATATATATACGCACATGTATGTATGTATGTATGTATGTATGTATAACTCTCTCTCTCTCTCTATATATATATGGGCGGGAACCTACCATGTAGGTATATTATGATTGGATTCCTACAGGGTTGATTTCCGCCGGAAGCTTACGAAGCTGAGGGTCGAGAGCTATTTGCTTAGGGCCAGGGCTCCTTTAAATTATAGTAGGAGTGTATAACGTAGGAACCTGATTAAGAAACCCTGGTCCTCCTACCCCATAATATTAGGATTCATATTAAGAACCCTAATAAAGACCCAGGGTTTCTTAATCAGGTTCCGACATTAAGCCCCAAAAGGTTAACGGTTACCTACTACTCAGCCCCTGATGTGTTATATGTAAATCTGCAGCATGTGAATGTGACTTCAAAGGCCAAGCCCCGACGATTAATAAGTTTCGGCGCTTCGAACGTAGGGACTGTGGGGCTAAGGTTTATGGCGTTCAGGGTTTAGAATTTAGGGCTAAGGGCTTTTGAGCGGATGCTTAGTGACCGGGGGTTTCGGGCCCGTCTCTTTAAAGTACAAGCTCATTTTCTGTTTTCACAGGTTGCTTCGTGATTTTGCTCCCTCAATTTCCAATTTCAAGCTGCTTGATACTAGGGCCTGGGCAGCATTCATAATCTGAGACCGCACAAGCCCTAATTTTTTGCATCCCTTGACCCCTACAGCCACACAAAACACAGCAACCCTAAACCCCTGACGCCACGAAGCCTTCAAACCACAAGACCAGGACCGCAAGCCCAAGCCCCAAACTCACAAAACCTCTGCAACCGCACACTCCTGAAACCAAAACCCCCCAAAACCAAGCCTCAACCCTACAAACCCAACGTCCGTAACCGTAACGCCCTAGCACATTTTAATGTGTCAAGAGCTAGGAAGGAGGCCTGGTAGGTCTCCAGTAAGCCCCCAGACTGCGCATCTTCCCTCTTGAGGTAGTTTACAGCCTGGGTTCAGGCTTAACCTTTAGGGGCCCCTGTAAAGGGATCAATCAGGCTTCAATGAGGGATCCGTAAGGGTTTCGAATCGGTTTTGGAGAGCCCCCTTGAACGGGATCTATCAGAGTCAGTTCTGTAATGACTGTAGAAGGGAACTATAAGGGTTCAGGGTTAGAGGTCTTTGAAGAGTTCGCTCTCAGTGATTGTTGAGTCTTGGCAGTTTGAGGATTCAGGCTTCGTGGCTTTAGGGTGCTAGAGTGACTTCGGGGCCTTCATAATTAGAACAGAGTTTGGGGATATAAGGAATCCCCAAAATAGTATAGATAACTATTTAAGCCCGTAAACCTTAAATCCTAAACCCCAAATCCTAAGCCCTAGATCCTGAACCCTAAATCCTAAACCCTAAATCCTAAACCCTAGATCCTGCACCCTAAACCCTCCTAAGCCTCCTACTAGAGGGGCCTAAATAATATATTATTTAGGCCCCTCTAGTAGGAGGCTTAGGGTTTAGGGTGTCGGGTGCTACGGGTTTTGGGCTGCAAGGCTCTCGGGCTTTTGCGGTTGTTTAGGGTTTGGCTTATGGTGCAGGGCTTCGGGTTTAGGGCTTAGGGTTAAGGCGGTTCAGGGTTTAGGGTTTAGAGCTTAGGACTTAGGGCTTAGGGTTTAGGGCTTGGGGTTTAAGGCTTAGGGCCTGGGGTTTAGGGTCCTGAGGATGGATCTGTTGATCGGACCTGGGGCTTGAAGTGCAGGTGCTGGAGCTTCCAGGGTTGTTAGGAGGGTCAGCACAAGGGCTACTACAAGACTTCAGGGCATACAGCAGTTGCTGCGCCTGGAAGCACGGACTGCCAATTCAGAGGTCTCCATTGCGTCTAGCCTTTCCAGTTCTGACCACACGAAACGACAGGAGAACGAACCATCCAACATCATCCAACCTCACGGCGAAACGGTGCACGTGCGCTGGCCCCCAATCCAGGTCGTGACGGACCTGTGAGGCGTCTGGGCCTGCAGTGAAATCTATCCGGGAGCCTGAGAGACCATTTGGCGCAATCCAGGTCTCGCTGGGGCCTGTGTGGCAAGAACTAAATCTACTTGGAAACCACCAATCCTGTTGCACCGAGCTTTGAAAGGCTCCTGCGGAACACTTCCATGACACTCCCAAACCAGGTCGCCAACTCTGTCCACGACCGGCTGGCAGAATTGAGTGTTGAGATCTCCAAGCACAACAGTCCAACACAGAAGAGGTTGCTGGAAGGGCTACCCTAAGGCTAGGGCTTACACCAGGGGCTACTAGAAGAGGTTCCTGTAAGGATTCTATGTTTGGGTTTGGAAGCGTAGTGTTTTTCGGATGCACAGACTCGGGAGGGACACTTGCCGCTTAAAAAGGTAGGTTATGGTAGTTTAAGGTCTGA